CTCAAGCAGCTTTCTTTAAGCTGTCTTGAATGAACAAAGCCTGTAATCATTTTCAGTGGGTCACCTCGTTAAACTCACGCTATTTGTGTGAGTTTGTGAATATGTGAGTTCCCCGTTACCCAGAGGCATGTGCTCAGGGTGGTTCGTACTGTAGTTTCTTTCTGTCCAGCTGCTTTTTCAGGTCCAGCTGCTAATGCAAAAAAAAAAAAAAAATAAATAAATTAAATCCACCCCAAACAGGCCTCTCTTCAGTCCCTCCTCACTGCTGTAGAGAGCTTCCTCCCCCCTTGGTCCTGAGCTGACACCAGAGCCAGCCTTTGCCCTGATTTAAGACCCTGGCCTCCTGATGACCCAGCTTGCTGCTCTCTCCCTCCCCTGCTCTATCTCTGACTCTAGTTTAGCTCGACATGGGGAAGTGCTTGCTCATTCTTTCCTCCACTCATTAATCCAGTGAACAATGAAAGGAGCTGAGCACAAACACAGTTATGCTTAAATCTTTAATGTGTAGCCTTTACTTTTCTGTCCTTTGTTTTACGAAGCCAGGGCTTTTGTCAAACAGATTTTGAAATGTATTCAGTGTCTAATGTAGCTATGCTCTGAAGGAGCGGATTAGTGTGATGGAGTTTCATTAGCACATTATCTGTTTTCGTGTCACAGGCTGGGAATCACAGTAACCCTGACTTTCCTGCTCTTGATGTTTTGGCAGCAGAGAGCGTGTTTGATGATTCATACACTCCAAATGAACGTCATTACTTCAAGACAAACGACCAGCCCTTGACCTAGACACTTGGACTCTTGTACTTGTTTTTGTACAGAGATATATTGCTTCTAAATACATACATATATTATTTATGTGTGCTTAAGTTACTGCTTTTGTTGTCTCAGCACATGCAAAGGCCAAAGCTGTGGCCTTGGGCCAGGTGACAGGACATTTTGTCATGGTTTTTCATTCTCATGCATAATTAAAAAATTTAATTACTTGTCATGTACAAATTATAATGCTGCAGGAAACAGACTACATGAAAACATATTTTATTTTCCATGAGACTGACATGAAATCAATTAATCCTGCTGTATTATTTTATGCTGGACAGGCAGTAGGAGAGAGAGGATGGAGATTGGCTACAGCTGTTCTCATTGGTGCAGCCATATATTATAGCTGGCGTGTGTGACAGCTTCTGAGGAAAATGGCTGAAGGGTATCAGGCAGGTGATTCGACTGTAAAAAGAATAACACTGTGGTATACAAACAGTTTTCAGAGACAGGTATAAGATTTGTGGTGGTGAAGAGGCACTTTACTGCTGTGCTGCATGTACTCTGGGTTTCCCCATATTTTTCCCAACAATGACTTTCTGTCACTATTTATGATGAGCTCTTGTCGTTTTCTGTGTGCGCGCCAGGAGTTGTTGTCATATAGTTTCTCATGCTTAGGCCCTATTTGAGACTTAGCACAAATCTTTGTTTATGACTTCACTGTTTTAGGTTTGATAAGATGCTTGTAGTCAGTATCATTTATGTGAAAGTTAACATGGGTCTCAAACATTTTCCCAACCTGCGTCAGTCCTTAAGTCGCTACACTGTAAAGTGTCTGAAATAATCTGATGTTCTCTCAGAAACTAAATGTAAATAGATTGGTTCCATGCCATATTAATCTGGTTACCACATTCAGAAGCATTTAGATGTAACGATATAACGCTGTTAAGTGTTACCTTAAAAATATAAGTACATTACTTTCCCTGCTGACTAATACCCAGCATCCTAGTGAACTGCCCTTCACTAAAGCAGTTCAGTTATGTTTAGGAACCATTGTTAGCTTCTTAGCATACTTTTCAGCATGCATGGCTGTTGGCTTAAAATTCTCCAGAAAGATAGCTTTCTTCTTTCTTCTTCTACCTAAAATTATAAAATATTTAATACTTATTTAGTCGCTGTTCTCACATTTATCGTTGCATTACACCAAAAGCTGATATGGTTACATTGAAACTAATGAGCAGTTTCTTGGCACAGTTAATAAAGTCTTTGAAAAATATTGTTTAGTACTAACAATTGACTGTAAAAATGACTGACAGGCTAAGAACTCCCAGAAGTGAAGCCACCATGAAGTGATTGCCCCCTTGTGGCTGGTTGCTATTTAGGTCATAAATCCCGCTTTCTTCATGTTAGTGGATGGGACATGAGCCAAATTAAAAACTCAATTACAAATCAAAACACTAATGTGTGTACAAGTGTTTATTTTTCTGGTAAGTTTTATTTTTAATTGGTTATTTAATGATACGGAAAGAGGTGTATTTCAGTTGATTTGACAGCTTTGATTGGCAGTCTGATGCTGTCGCTCCACTTGTGGTCGCTAATGCGCAGAATCTGGTTGCAAAAAAGCAAGATGTCAGCCACTGTATTCACGATATTTTGGCTTCATTTTTGCATAGTGGAGGGAAGTGGTGACACCATGTCCATTTTGTATAGCTTGATGGTGCTAACACAGTTCTTGCACAGTTTTAGTATCTCATAGTTTTAATGGGTATTTTTACACAAATGTGTAAATGGAAATCAGTGAAGCGCAACAATATAGCTGTGCACGAATCTGTCTGCTAAACATTTTAAAGTATCTTCAGCCAGTCCATCTATTTCCAGGTTCTTTTTTTTGTTTGTTTGTGAGACACAACAGCAAACAGTCAGATTTAAAAGGCAAATTTCTGCCATCAGATGGAATAGCTCATAATAAATGTACCTAGTGGCTGGTTTGTCTGTAATTGTGATGATAATTTAGTAAAAACTATTAAATTACATCGTTCAGTCACTGCTTCATTGTTGATTTACTTTATTTAAAAAATGTAACAAGCTAATTACAGTATAAATTTAAATCAGATTAAATTTAAATGAAGACAGAATATTTAAAAAAATCCCTTTTTACAAACAAATAGAGGTAATTACTTTAGCCACACATTCTTAAAGCCACAAAATGTGATTATGAGCCCACCCACGGAGAGTGAAATTCAAAATAATTTGTGTGTATAATGTCAGGTGACACACACACACACCAGATAACACAATGCACAATCCTGCAGAGGTCAAATAACACTTCACCAGTGGACCAGCTGAGCCATAGCACTCACAGCCACAACACCACAAAAAAGGAATTGTGAGTGATTCTGGGAGCTGACAGCAGCCAGGCAGTTTTTTTTTCTCCTCTGGGTTAATTCAGTGGATGAAACGCTGTGGCACGTGATGTGTCATATATCAAAGGCAGGGCATCAGTAATCTTTGCTCAAGGGCATGGATAACAGGCAGATAGACATGTGAATGAGATGGGGGGTGGGGTGTTTTGGGGAGTGGCTCATCCCTTTCTGCCATCACTGCAGAGAAGATAGAAGAAGATTTATGGGACATCACAGACCACATACAAGCAGGATGACCATCTTAGATGTGAACCCCTCCTCTCAGAACCTTCCTCCATCTTGTCTTTTTTTATGCAGCACTCTACCAAGCGAGTGACTCACAAATCAGATATTTTATAGATGTAATTGGGTTCCTTTTTTATGTTTCTCACCATAGCTATCAGGACTTCTGTCAGCCTTTAAGCTCTGTACTTTTTTCCAAGCCCAAATCCAACTTTTTGAGAGCCATGCTCCATGATTGAAATAATCTTAGAATAACCATCAATTTTCTCTAGGGATTTCCAAACAAAGAGCTGTAACACAAGCATATCTAATGTTCAGGATACTTGTATTTGTTTTTACACATTAGCAACCCATTGACATTTCATAAACACAGATGGTTTGGAATTCGTCCAGTTTCCAAAAGTACAGCACAAAGCACAATAGTGTTACGCATTATTTAATTACAGTCATCTGTAATGCTGTCACTTTGACTCCACCTGTGTTGTGTGGCTCAGCGCTGAAATGCTTAACAGAGTCTTGCATGTAAAAGCCAAGCGACAGGAATTAGGGACAGTAATATGTTTACATTTTAATCGAGCCTGATCACTGAAGTTCTGCTGTTATGGCCTGTCTGATTGGATGAAATCTGGTCCACAGTGATTATGGTTATGAGGACAGATGATCTCCGAGGTATGCAGTGCCATTTGATGATTTCTTGGATTTTCTGGAAGAGAGGTCTTCAGATCTGCCTCACAGGTCGTAGATGATTTCTGAGGATCACAGCTGTTGTCCTCCCTCAGGGCACATTTATGTGTTATCATTCACTGTAAAACTTATTTATAAATGAAAAGTCCCTTTGGGTGTATCAACAGCACTGCACACAACAGAAATATCTTGGAGTGCTTTTAAGCTTTTGAATTGAGAATTAAAATGTGCTGTTTTTAGTGAAGCTACAAGAATGAAACTTTGTTGTTTTGAATTATGATACAAGTCTTGCTGTAGACTGCATAGTACTCTGGCAGACCAGTACACAAATCAGCACACATATGCTCTGGGAGAAAGAAGAAACATCACCGGAGTAGCCAGCAGATTCAGGTAATCGTTAGGGTCCAAGCTCTTCAGCTCTTTTTTTAAATCTATTGAAACAAAACAATATTTGTTGAGCTTAATATCCTACAGTAGGATTTAAAAGGGAGGCCTTTTATGCCCTTGTGTATGTGTGCACACATAGTCCATCAGATCGAGTCAATCATGCTGCACTTTGGATGTTCCCTGTAGCGAGGAAGCACCAAATTTCACGTAATTCTGCTAATTGACCTGAGTGAGGAATGGCATCAGGGTGCATCATGACATCTACAGTGAGTGCTCACTTGTTATGTAAAGAAACTTATCAGACTATGAGTAAATGCAGAATTACGCACCTTTTCTACAATTGATTTAGTTGTGAAGTTGCATTTAATCGTTGTCGACTGTGCGTGAGCATGTTCGGTATTTATTTGGGTGACATCTGTGGCCTTGTGATATAGATTGCAGTCAAGGAACAGAAACAGGACAAACCACAACTTTGCTGTATATCAGGTTGCTTGCCAGGAACTATTGAACTTTTCTTCAACAGGTCATCCAGACTGACAGCAGCGAAAGGACAATAGGATCAACTTAAATGCTGGGAAACAAAGTGAGTCTGGTCTCTAATTCACATCTGATACACCACAGATGCACTGGTTATGTTCATGTACTGTACCTGTCAGGAGGTATAAGCAGGAGGAGGAAGTGGCTGTGTTCATCAGGGGATATCCTTCCTCTCAGCAGTGGCGAGGGGGAACGCCCTGCTCACACAAAGGGTAGCCTCACTCCTTCGCACTGTTTATTTTTAGTCATAACATCCACTCGAATTGAAAGTATGGGTCAAGGTGAGGCTAGGACACTTGTGAGAAGAGGGTGCCTGATGAACAACAAACAGATGTTCTTTGATGATAATTGCAGAGAAGGGGAAAGGGAGTGTGGAGGACAGGCTCACTTGCTGAGGCTGTCCCTCCACCCTCTGAAGGCCTTTGGTGGTGTGTTGTTTAGCCCCAGGAGTACTGGGTATACTGGTTTTAATTTTGTACATGAGTTTATCATGTACCATCATACCATAGCACAACTGAACCAATAGCTGTAACACTTCAATTGGCAGCAGATTATATTGTTTACTGCTAGAAACATGACAGATCTTCAGGGGAAGGTGTTGAGAGGGGACCCCTATTAACTTACCCATCTTACTAACAGTTATAACTTTATAACACAGCAATTAATCACCCAAAACATACTCTCTTTATCATGGCAAGACACCGTGGCCCAAAACCATTTGTGACCAAACTATTTGTAACATTAATAATTATGTTCATAAAATTAAACAGTCAAACAGCATGTTGTGTATATCACTTTCAGTTATGACTAAGCATTGCATATCTGTTGTTTGCAAACGTCATATTTCCTGAACAACCACACTGGAGAAATAGATGTACAAGGCTAAAGAGAGGCCCTTAAATCCTGTAGTCTGGCAGAGAAGAGGCAGTTGGTCCTAACAACTCATAGATACCATATACACTGTGTATATATCTGGATAACAACACTGACTATATATAAAAGATGGACGAACCTTTCTGGTTTGGTTTTTTAAAGTTATTCGGTTATTAATAACCTAAAGCAATAAGTGTTTTTAAAGTATGTGATATCTTTAAAAATAGCCTGTTTTTATTAATGTTTGAGTTAGCTAATATTTTTGTAATAGGCTACTCTTGATAGTAGAAAGGGCCACAAACATATTTAAAGACCCAGTCATGCAAAAAGGAAAAAAAAAATGATGCCATGAAACTACCAGAATCTTGAAAAAATACCATGATACAAATATTTGTTCAAACCACCCGGCACTAGCCCCAGGAGTTAAAGTGAGCCTGCTGGTGCCATTATAAACCATTATTTGCCAGAGGTGACTCATGTTCATAGTAGCAGCCACAAATTTGAATGCCAATATCCTTGCCTTAAACTGACCTAGAAAGGAAAAAAGTTTGTCAGTCGGCGACATTCTTTCTTAACGTGAAAGGTTAGAGAGCCACGGCCCTTAATCAAGTGTGACCGTCAGCCGGCGCCCTCTAAAATGTAGCTGTAAAGACAGGCTGCCAGTGCTACAGGCGATGAGCGCTAGTGCAGAGTGATTGATTTGTGTAAATCATTTTCTTTTTTTGCTCTCTCCTTCTTTTTTACGAGCATCAGTAGAGGTGGAGGATGGTGAGGATACCATCATGGGATTAAATATAGCTCCTCCAGGCTGTCCTGGTGATTAATGAGCTGCCACAGCATTCCCAACTGTCACTAAGAGGAGCATGGGTTCAAACCATGTCTAGACTGATGATACAGAGGATAAAAATCAGTTGTGTCATTATGTCACTAAAGTCCTGTAGTTCTGATGTTGATCTAGCAACATTGTGACACGCTGGTTATTTCAACATACAGTATCAGTTCCATCTTCGGGGTAAATTTGCAGGTTTAATATTAGAATTATTGATTTAGATTAGTTTTAGTGTTTGGGTCAGGATTCATAGCATTTAGTTGAAGCTATAATTTATTAGTATTAAAAGTTTAGAATAATTTTTATCACTGTTTTAAAATAGCGATTTGATGTGGAATGACTTTTAACAGGTTTTGGAGTTGCTTGTTTACTTCTTTCTACTGCAAGTGCTTCAGGTGTGGCCCATCAGGTCTGACCCTGTCTCCGTATTCTATTCTTCTGATTGACTACTGCAGCAAAAATCAGGCAAGACAGGAAAATGTGTTGACAGTGTTGCAAACGAAGGCACGTGAAGATAGTTTGACCAGCCAGCTAAAATTACCATCCCACAAGTTTTACCTAACACGACACTGTCTATCCATGTATGTGCATTCACAACTTCAGTTAAAAAAAAAAAAAAAAAAATCCCTGAACAAGTAGTCAGTCCCAGTTTCCATCTCAAATTGGCTGGTCTGTTGTAGCCCAGTGTTTACTTTTTGAAGCAAATGTGGTAAATTCAATTGAATTCAATTTCTAAAACAGCGCCCAGTAGTCTGATGTGAGTGTAAGTGACGTCACCGAATGAAAGCCTATTAATCACCTGGTGTAGACTCCAGTGTGCCTCATCTGATACTCATTGTCATTCAAGTATCTCTTATACACCTGAGATCTAAGAGATTTACTGAGAATGGATGTTATTTCACGTTTGCTTTTTAATGAGGTATTTATATCTCTGATATTGATATAGGTGTTGGTCTCCCCTCGCAGTTAGCTGTTTTGCTCATCAGATCCTCCAGATTTTTTTTGTCTTGTTTTAGAGTTTGGTTCTTGTAATGTCTTCTGACCTTTAGCACTGAACCAGATAGCTGGGCAGAGGGCTGTGAGGACAGAGGCTGTACATCTATCTCTCCCCAAGGAGTGTCGTGTTTCTCTTTCCACCATTTATTTGAAAGCTATCGTTTCCTGGGATTCATCACTGAAAAATGGCATTGATTCTCTGGATGATAGATGCTAAGAGTCCTTTTATTGACATCCCTATTGGCAGGCCTGTGTAAATTCTGCATCCTATTACCCCCGGAGATAAATGATACACCTTGTGAACAGGGAGGATGTAGCTGAGTCGATGGTAATGTCTGAGCATCTCTTACAGTGGCGGGTGTCGTTGCTGAACAGCGTTATTCATTTTGTCAGAAAACACCTTATCAGTCACTGTGCTGAATAATTAAACACAGTAAGAATGATGGCAGATAATGTTCCCCTGCCAAGCACGCAGACAAAGAAATAAGAGTGACTACAGATGCTTTTATTCAGCTCTGTGTTGTAGCTACTTTAGGAAGGTCAACTCTTAATCTAAAGGTGTTTTTGAATCTAATATCCCTGTCTGGAAAGTTTGCTGTAGCATTAAAATGACTTATGAAAAGCCTTAAACCTACTGCATGTGCCATGAAGCAGCTCGTTTCTTTGCTCCATTGTTTACAAGGGCTATTTTTCTTTGACTCTGTGAGGTTTATTGCATCTTAATCCTACCCTTTTGAAGCACTGCCTGCAAGGATGTTAAATAATGTCCTGCTGCCAACCGTTTTCTCCATCTCAATTTGTTTTAGAGCAGTACACAATTTAACCTTCAGAATAGCATTTGCAGGTTCATAACACTTGGAACAGGTGTAATTTTTCTAACAAACAGAACTGCAATGTGACCCTATTTATCTCTGTTTCCTATAATGTATTGTATTAATCTGTGGGCCATTCATGAGCCATTATTTCAGCAGGGCAATAATTCACTCTTGTTGTTCAGCCTTGCTACTGGAGAAAGTCTTTCTAGTTATACTTTAGTGCTCCACCATGCAGCTCGCGTGGGATCTGTTGGAGTTTGGTTTTGTAGCTTTGTGCACAAGAATCGAGAGAGTGAAATGGACCTGTGATTTAGCCTCTTGAAAGTGTGAATTTTCTGACTTGTGCTTGAGGCTCTTCTGCTTGTTTTAATTTACAGATAACCCTGACAATTTATCTTTATTTAATACTCAAAGCCAATTGATCTTATACAGGAGATCTAATTGCAACTTTAGATACCAATAGATTGTATGTATACATAGTCCAAACCAACGGTCTATTAAATAAGGGATAAGCCAAAATATCAATTATCATTTTTAATTCATTCATTTTGACTTTCTGATGAAAGAAACTATGAACACATTTACACCGAGGCTGCAGCTAAGAGCAGAGCTGTGTGGTTACTGCAAGTTCAACCCCTGTGCCGTTTCTTCTTCTTGTTCCAAAGATAAATTAGCAGCTTCTAAATAATGCAGTGAACCCTAATTCTCTTTGATTAGTAGTGAGTTAGATGACGGCGACCCACTGAAATTGGTCATCAGCATAAATAACGAGCGAATGAACTGATAAAATGCAAAGTCCTCAGCCATCATAAATCAAATGGAATCCACTGGCCATGGAAGCGAGTGGAATTAGAAGTCCATGCTCCTATTAATTATGTTGCCTTGTGGAGGCGACAGCGTGATAAATCAGTGCTGAAAGGGCCTTCACTGGCTGAGCCTGAGGAGTTAGACTGCCTGCAAATTGCTTTGTGTATGCTCTTAATTGTTTCTTAAGTAACCCACCTTTTTGAGGCAGTTTGGAAAGGTACTCTACCAAGAGGGGTCAAGGAAGTCAGAGCCACTGTTTCTCTATGATAACGTTATAGAAAGTCATCTCTCCTCCTGTCTCTTTCTTTTAATGTGTCTCTATTTATATGAATTGGTGATAGCAACTCTCCAGTGTAAAACAAGTATGCACACAACGTTAGACAAAACAATTAAAAGAACAAAGATAAACCAAATATTATATTGTCAATTTATGAATACATGCAGAAGAATTTGTTTGTATACATACTATCATCAATACATTTATAAGTATAAAATGCATTACCTTCACAGGGAACTAAAAATGTTTATCTAACAACTCCTACAATATCTTAGTCAGTACTGTGGTCATTAACTTGAACTAACATGTTGATCTACCTAAAAACTTATTTGGGATAGAGTTGGATGGATTTTGATTTTCTTCATATCTTCTGCAACACTGTAACATGTGAATCAAAGCCACCTTTCTTAATTAGGTAACTTAAGTATTCACTTTGATCATTTCCTCTC